GTAGAAATATAAAAGAGAAGAAATTAAAGTAACATAAAATGAACAATACAAGGAGGTACCGAGATGGTCGATCAACTGCAAAAGAATTTGGTATGACAGACCAAACATATTTTCCAATTTTTTCAATTCATCTCGTACACTACCATCAGCCAATTCCATAATTAGCACCATCTGTTTAGTTCCATTTACGTTCTAAAAAACTTTGACTTTAAATTCATGTTCTAGAAAACTTCATTACCTTATTTTTAGTTACTAAATTATTATTTCTTAGTTATATTATTTTATGAATTCCAAGTAATTAATACTATATTTGACAATAGAAATGTACCTTCTGATCAATCGTATCAGATGCAATAAATCTGACGATATGTGGAGAACTTATTTGTTGTAAAATTTCAATTTCACGAGCATGCTGCTGAGTATTGAATCTATTGCAGGTTTTGATCGCCACAAATTCACCTGTTTCTTGATTTCGACCCTTATGAACCTGTTATTTAAAGAAATTAATTATTGTATCGAGAAATAACAGATATATTACGTAGCTTCGAGTTCTCAGGTAGATTAAATCGAAACAAGGCAAGTGGAATATCTCTTACCATAGTGTTTGTCATATATCATTATGTCACTTCATCGAAAGATACGATCCATAGATAACGTATATTTCTTACTTCTAGTAAGAGATTATTACATCATAATCCTTTTCTAACACTTATTTAATTTAATCTTTTATTTCTAATTTCAAAATTTTTAATTTTAAAATTTACTCTTCCGAAAGCACCATTGCCAATCAAATCTATGCTACGTTGATGCCAAAAAAATTTATTTGTATATTGTACACCCTCCGAAACTCCATCCATTCAGCACCTGTAAAATAATTTTCTTTAAAATGTTTTCTGTAAAATTTATCTCGTTTCAAATATTTGATTTTCGTGTTTACATCTATTCTTAACTATTAAAGAGTGTTCGGAAACCTTAAGTAAAATAAAGTTCGGGATTAATTCTGAAATCTCATCCTGTAAATCTGTTCAAATCTTGGTAATATAATTGTTCTCACCGCATGAATAAATGAATTTGAGTTTGAAAGGAAAACTAAAATTTGAAAGAAATGCAGTGAAAAAAAAAAAAAAAAAAAAAACATTCATATCATCAACTAATCAATTTGGATAGATGAACAGATAAAAATTTGTAGAAACTATTTTTCTGTTCAACTTTTCAATCAATGATTTAAAAAAAAAAATTACAGAAGTAGAAAAATGTAAAGAAATCGAAATATAGTAAAAATAATCAGTTGGTACTCAATTCATTTAATGCTACACAAATATCATAAAATGAATGAATTAATTAATTATAAGTTAATTATTACTTGGCTAAATAAGTTAATAAATAGTGTATATTACATATTATTATTATTAATAATAATAATAATATAAAGAAATTGCAATAATACTGAATAATGATCATAGAAATCAGAAATTATAAGAAACAATGAATGTGAAACATTACCAAATGAACTTTTACGTCCTAATTTTGGACATTACATTTGCATGTAAAATTCCAAAAAATTTGTTTTCAATAATTAAAAAAAAAAAAAACATTTTCCTAATATTTTCACTTCCATTCCTTACATTATAATTTGTTTCTAGGTGAAACGTTAAATAATCAAAAATTATTTCTCTATCATAATAAGTCAATCAAATCATATACTAATAGTAAAAATTTGAAATTAGGAACTTGAAAAAAAAAAACAAATAAATAAATAGAAATTCCAATTTTAAATGATTATCAGCCAAATAAATTCTATGAAAAAAGAAAAATTAATATTTAAAATATGTTTGAGTTAATCATTTTGCAGTTTTCCATATAAATCATCGATTTTCACTTGCAAATCGATTTCAATAATAGTTTATTTTAATAAAATGACAAATTTAACCAATCAATTTTGTTATCATTTCTCTAATAACTATCAAATTACATTTCTTTGTTTGTTGTCTGTGTATGTGTGTGTGTGTTTGTGTATGTGTCTGTAATGTTTTTTTTTTTGTTTTTTTTTTCAATTTCAAAAAAAATTGATAATATCAAACTTATCATCAATATTTGTTAGAGTGAAGAAGAAGGATAAATATATGGGAAAATGGAATGATAAGGAATTGAGAGAAATGATAAGAAATTGATGGCTTAGGAGTAGTGTGACAAACCGGACATTACAACCAATATTGATGAATCACCAACAAGTGAAGTTGAGAGATGAACAGACCACTTGGCACCATGAACAACCATCAATCTACCTTCAAACCAGATTCTATTTCATGTTGTTCCTATTTTTCTTTAAGAAGCGCTAATTTAAATTCATTTAAATGTTTGAAAAAAGAAGGAAAAAAAAAATTCATTGATTCATCTTATATTTTTTTTTTTTTTACACTGAAAATGATAAAACTTTTGATATATTTTTGTGATCAATCAATTTGATTGATTTTAATGAATGAAAATTTTGATTTAGTCTTAATCTTAACCCATTTTACAACTTAAAGAGTACAAAGAATTGATTCATTGATTGATTGATTCATTGATTGATTGATTGATTGACTGATTCATTCATTCATTAAATATTGCTATAATTGGAAGAGAGAATGAAAGAGAGAAAAATAAATAAATGAAAATGAAAAGTCACAATGAGTCGAGACAACCTATACTGCTGGTAAATCGATAAAAGAAAACTGCAAATGAGTTGCTCCACCTCAAGTGACCAATGTCCATCTGCACATAAACACACACACACACATATATATATGTCAGTCGTATTCGCATTCAAATGACCAATACTAAAAATCGATCAGCAATTAAAGACTTTACTTATATTCTCACTCGATCATATGATTGGTATATAATTTTATAAATAATAAATAATTTCAACTTTGGATGAATTAGTGTAATATATAAAGCAATATAAAAAAAATTCTCAGCAATATAAATTTAAATTTAATAATTTACATTTAATTTACATTTAATTTACATTTAATAACATTATAATTAGAAATAAAACAAAAAACAAAAACAAATATAAGTATTATAATTTGATATGATCGATTCGAATTCATTGCTTTTTATTTAATTTATTTAAACTATGAAGCATATTTGTATTAATTAAATGATTTTTTTTTTTCTAATATAATTTAAAATATTTATCGATTTTTAGCACTTTTCAACAATTCATTAAAGAATGACTGATTGATACAGAAAAAGAAAAAAAAATTGTATTTTATTGAGAAGTTTTGTTTTTTTTTTTTTATTTTCATTAATTTCATATAATAAATTTTCTCATTGTTTCATTTCAGATTTTGAAAAGAAATTATTAATTTAATTTTAAAGGAATTTTTATTTTTTCACAAATTTATAAATTTCTCTCTGAATTTTATGCTTTATTTTATAATTTAAAATATTGCTAAATAATGAAATTATATTTATTAAAAAATAAATTTACCCGTAACAATCATCGAATCTGGTCTTTTAACTCTTTTTTTTTTTTTGTTTTCCCCGCACTTAATTTTGATGTTGGGTGAAAAAAAGGTGAATGAGATGGGTAAAATTGGTTTTTGTATAATTGTCAAAATTTATTTTACAAAAGATATCACACACAAAAAAAAAGAGAGCTATTTAAAACGTTTGACTGTTTGATTGAAATTAAAAAAAAAAAAATATTACAAAAATTTTAAATTTTCAAAATTTCAATTTTCAACTGTCAAAATTTCAATTTCGCTATTTTTTGTATTTCTATAATTCACAAATTTTTAATGTTTTTTTTTTTTGTTTGTTTTCAATCGACAACTTAAACTTTATTTTTCAACTAGCAGCCAATTGAAATTTGAACATTTTAAGTGAATATGTGATATGATCCCAATTTAAAATAAATACATAAATGGAATCTTTATGATATAAATTGATTTGATCACATCGAGAAATTAGGCTAACTGTTGTAAATAACAAATATTCGTGTATATCAAAATTTAAAATCAGTGTAATGAAGTGAAGTATTGGCTAGTTCAATTATAATTTAAAATTGATAGAGAAAAGGATCTGAAAGATTTGATGATTGATAGTTTATGCCCTAATTTAATACATTCCTTCTTCACTAATCAGATGATAAGTTTTATTTTGAAATTGGAACATATGAGAAATGCTTGGATCAAGTTTGTACTATAATATATTTTCGTTGTATTAATTTTGTTTAAAAATTTTTCCATTTAAAACTTAAGTTTTTATTTGGTACTTTAACATTTGATTTTAATCTTGATGCTTTATTTATAAATTCTAATTTTTTTTTTTGCCAATTCAACATTTTTTCATATCTAATAACTAGTTTAAAGTAGTAAGTAATGAATATGATCAATTCATTCAGTTCTATTAATCCTTTTTTTTTTCTTTAATTTTAATCACTGCTTTTTTTAATTTTAATTATTAGTGTGAAATGCTAATGCTAATACAATAATTATTGCATTCATCCTCATCAATTTAATGTGTTATTACTGCTGTATGAGCAATTACCGATGCTACCAATGTTTAATTAATTTTTGAAAAAAAGATAAATATCGTTTTTTTTTTCAAATTTCAGTTATTCTATCACAAATGACAATACAGGATTGTATTCTTCAACTAATTATCATTAATTTATATCTCATCGTTATCAGCCATGCTGTAAGTAATTAAATTTTCCTCTTACTTCGAAAATTTTAAAATATAATTTGTATAAATTTTGATAATCAAAAAATGATATGCAAATTATTACAAACAAAAAATAAGATATAATCAAATATATTGTATCAATTTTTTTTTTTGTTTGAATTTAAATAATATACATATTCATTAATTAATAAAATTTGAGATAAATAATATTTAAATTATTGAAATTAATAAATTCATTAAAGAAAGGTAAACAAACAAACAAACAAAGCAGAAAACATATGTTTTATTATTTCCTCATAAAATATCCTTAAAAATCTGTTAAGATGACAGTACCATCGATGCATAATGAAACATTGTTATCATTGGAAAATGGAACACAACAACGAGATCAATCACAATTATCACTAAATGATCAATCACTTGATTTGTTATCAAGACAAAATATTGCAGTGGAAAAAAAATGTATGAAAAATGAAGTGTGGACTAATTGTACTGGTTGCGAATTAAGTTGTGATGAGGATGAATTTGTTTGTTTCATTTCTGATTTCTTTCATATCATATCATATCATATCATATCATTGAATATTAAAGTGAAAGAAAAACAAAATAAAAAATATTCAATTTTTACAGAAAAAAAAAATGCTAAAATTGAAATTTATTATTTTTTTTTTTTTTGATTTTGAAGTTATAAAAGAAAAAAGAAATATTATTAGAAATTATTTGCATTTACATTATGAAATTAAACTTTTTTTTAAATAAATTCAAGAAGTTGTTTTTTTATTTGAAAAAAAAAATTTTTTTTTATTATTAATTTCTTAGCTACAATGTCAAAATATATGCTATAAACCGGGATGTGAATGTCCAGCAATTTTGGGATTTCGTCGAGCATCAAATGGAAATTGTATTCAGAAAGAGGAATGTCCATTGGAAGATAATAAGTTTTTCGATTATTTCTTTTTTATTAATTCTTAAAAATTTGTTATATTTAAGTTTTTCGATTATTTCTTTTTATTAATTCTTAAAAATTTGTTATATTTTAAAAAGTTTCCTTTTTTTTCGAGTAAAGTTATTGTTAAAGTTAAAAAAAGCTAAAAATTTATCGAATTTAACTTTTACAATTAGTTCATTTTCTTTTTTTTTGCTTTTTGTTTGATATTCCAATAACTTTAACGAATATATTCATTACTTCATTTAATTGCTTTTGCTTACAATTTTTAATGTAAAAAAAAAAATAATAATAATAATCATTATAATCTAGATTTTAATGAAAATTGATTAATTTAAGAAAATAAATTAAAATTAATTCAGAAAACAAAAGAGTGAAAGAAATTAGTTTTTTTTTTTTTCATTTAATAATTAATTGAACAGTTAACAATTAACAAATTAGAAATGTAAATGTATCATTCTATTGCAGATAAATAATTATGAATTTTTAAATTTAGTACCAAAGGAATGTTCAATAACGGAGGAATTCAAGGAATGTGGAAGTGTTTGTGAAGAAACTTGCGATGATTTTGGACAACCGATAGTATGCAGCAAGCAATGTTTAGCAGGTTGTTTCTGTAAAGAAGGTTATATACGTGAAAAGAAAGGTGGTTGTTGTATATTACCGGAATTATGCGATACAAGTAAGTTATACAAAAATTAAATTTCTTTTTCTTTTATTTTTTTCCAGATTTTGAAGGTTAATTTTAGAGATAATTGAATAAAGACTCAAACTTTATTCAAGTACAAAAGAATTTCAACTTTATATTATTGTTATAAATTAGAAAAACGAAGCCGAATATGTGGACCTAATCAGGAATACCGAAAATGTGGTACAGCTTGTCCGAAGACATGTAATGGTTTGCCGGAAAATTGTACACAACAATGTGTTGATGGTTGTTTTTGCAAAGAGGGTTATGTTCTGGATCTTGATAAATGCATTCCGGAAGATAGTTGCAAAGGTAATTTATAAATGATTTTGAAATATATCTCTTACATAAATGACAAATCAGAATTTTTAGTTAATTAATTATTTTTTAAATCACAAAAAGATTTCTTCTATATTTTAAATTATTAATTTCAAGCTATCATTTCATAATTATGTATTTATGTAGGAACATTGAAAAAAAAATAGTTTAACTTTTATTTTTAGTATTTTAATTAGCAATAAAATTTGATTTGTAATTTTAACCATATTTCATTTGAAAAATAGAAAATACAAGTTGTAGAATCAAGAGAATGTCCTGAAAATGAAGTGTATCGGAAATGCGGAAGTCCATGTCAGGAAATCTGTGGTAAGCAAAAAGAAACGAATTGTAATGCTTGTATAGAGGGTTGTTTTTGCAAATTAGGCTATGTAATGGAAGAAAAAGTTGGTGCATGCATAAAACCGGAACATTGTATGCGTAAGTTTTCCTGTTAATGATTAAAAATTTTTTAAAAATAAATTCAATCAATCAGTATTTTGTTTACAGAATACTGATTGAAATCGATTTAAAAAAATAAAAATTGTTTATTTATTTACTTATTATCAATGGATGGATTAAATTGAAGAGTAATATTAAGAAATAAAATGCTTTACAATAAACAATTAAATGAAATGAATAAGATTTTATATGAAGATTAAATAGCTTTAGAAAATTCAACAATTAATTTTTAACTTAGGAAGAATCCAATATAAAATCATAAAAGTTATTTAATTTAATACTTTGAATTACTCTTTCAAATTTTGACTTCAAACAGAAACGAAATTTCCATATAAAAAATGGGAAAAAAAAACGGTAAAATTATAGTAAATATTATGATTGTTTATCACATTTAAAAACAAAAATAAGATAGAGATAGTAAAATTAAAAAAAAAAAAAAAGAAAAGAAATCTAATATTTTTTAATAATTATAAATTATTTTACAAATTGTCAAACTTTATTTTTTTTTTTGCTAAGTTTCAATTAATTTAATATTATTTTTATTTTTAATTGATTAAATTTTCAGCTCCAAAATATATGAAATGTCCAGGAAATGAAACTTTCACATATTGCGGTGGCTGTGAAGGTACATGCAAAATGCAATTTGTCAAATGTCCAACTGAATGTGGCTCACCACGTTGTGAATGTTTGGCTATGAAAAATTATGTTCGTAATGAATTTGGCATATGCGTTCATATTAATGATTGCATTAATTAATTATTAATAAATTTCATTTATTGTAATTTACAAATTAATAATAATAATAACGATAATAATAATAATATCAATAATAATAAAAATAATAATAATAATAATAATAATAACAATAATAATAATAATAATATTAATGATAATAAAAGTAACAATAATAATATTAATAATAATAAAAACAATAATAATAATAATAACAATAGAAATAATAATAATAATAACAATAATAATAGTAATAAAAATAATAATAATAATAACAATAATAATAATAATATTAATAATAATAAAAATAATAATAATAACAATAATAATAATAATATTGCTGTATTAACATTAATAAATAATAATATTATTGCATTTATATCAATAAATGGTAGCATTATATCAAAGAATAATGACATTATTGTATTTGTAAATACAAACAATAATTGTGAATTTATATCAATGACCAATAATGGTATTGTATTTGCATCAATAAACAATAATATTATTGTATTTACATGAAAAAAAAAAGACAATAACAATAACAGTGGATTAAAGAACGTCAAATAATATCAAATATTTACATCAAGGAACAATAATATTATTTTATTTGCATTGAAAAACAAACAAAAACTATTGTATTTTGCATTATTGTATTTACATCAACGATACTCAATGCAAATAAATACTATTTCACATAATTTCTTTTCTTTATTTATTTAATTAAATTAAAAAATGAATCAATAAATTCACATCCTTCAATTTAATGTGAATTCTTTTCGAATATTAATTTCTGACGAATTTTTCTTTTTCTTTTTTCTTTTTTATAAGACTATTAAACTGTTTAATATACGAAAATAAACAGTCGTTGAAGATTGTTTATTTTCTTATATTTACGTATTTACTTATTACTACAACTCATTACTGCTACTACAGCCCTTGTTTTTGTTACCATTGTTGTTTCTATCTAAATTTTTATCAAAAATGCAAAATTTGGTATTTTTTTTCGGAATTCAAGTTAAATATACACTTAACAAAATCTTTTAATTATTCGAAAATCTCTTAATTTTTCCGAATTTTTTAATTATCTTATTTTTTACATCTAACCTTTTTTATTTCGATTAAATTCTTTTCTTTTCTTAATTTTTAGCATTAAGAATTGTCTTTTTTTTTTTGCACCAAATTTCCGTTCAATTTATGATTAAAAATTTCACAAGCAAATAATTTTTGTTTCTTTCAGAGAAAGAGAAAAAAAAATGAAAAATTCATTATAAATCAAAGTTCGAGTAGTCAACGATAAAGGAAAAAAAAATTAAAAATGAACGAATATACTTGTTATCCAATTATAAGAATTCTTATGATCATGGGATGGAAGTTTTCATTGAGTGTTGCATAAAAGAGTCGTGCAACACGGATAATTTTTCATAAAATTTCATTTATAAAATTTTTCATCTTCTTTGCGTCATTAGAAGCATATGGTTTGTCATTAATTTTTTGTACGTAATGGATAGTCCTATAGTTAGTTAATTGGGAAAGAGAATTATTCGATTATAAGAATGCTTGTAGAATAGTAAAATTTTCAAATTTGTGCAAAAATTGATAAATAGCAATGGAAAACGAAAGAGAATTGTTTGATTTTTTAGAGGAAATCTTCGAAACCTGAAGATTTTAGGTTTTAGGAAGTCTTATTTTGTATTTTATAGAAAGTCTCACATGTATTTTCTGAAATATCCGACGTGTAGCTCTCAGATAATTTGAATTGTATCTTCTTCTCTATTTCTTGGTAAAGTGAACTGTATTTTCATGTCGAAAAAAATTTTTTGTAAATTTAAACTGCTATTAAACTTGTTGTTGTGAGTACATAATGCAATCGTCAGAGTGAAATGTGAAATTATTTTCAATCCAATAAGTGTAATATTTTTGCCACTTACACTTTTTTATTGTTTCTTGCTATACTGTAAAGTTGTTTGGTCTCAGATCCACTGTTTCATTTTGTTTTGCTTGATGAAATAAGCATATTTAGATCCAATTAGTAAGAGTAAAAGGCAGTAAAGTCATTAAGTTGCTGTTATTTTTCCTTGGCTTCTGGAAGCTACTGGCTTTGTTAAAATTAGAATTTATCAGTGATAGAATAGTTCTTATGATGCTACTATCATTAACTATTATTTTAGATTATGTCGTCCTTCATTAACTTTCCAAAACGTCTTAAGCCTGTGTCGTGGTACTTTGCCATACGTTGTGGATCATCGTCCACACTCGCACCGGGCCGTATTTATTCGCAGAGACACTTATTTGAAGTGAAAAAGACTCAAATGAAGGTATTTAATTGCTTATTAATTTAATTAGATCTTTAGCCAGATAATTTATTTCGCTACGAGTAATATTATTAGCAATAATTAGTGTTTTTCGGTGTTTAAATTATCGCTCTTACATGCATTTCGGGAAAACAATGTTATTTGCTTTCTTTTTTATTTTGCTCTTGTGATTGGGAATTCAAAAATTTTCGACTTTATCCTTTGGTGTTTTAAAACTGAATTCAAATTACTAAGTGACAACAACTGTTAAGGCGAACAATCCCGAAAAATATGCATTGGCATCAGATTTCCTAGCGCACCGAGCTGATCGTCCAAAAGACTACAAGCCAGACACGTCTGCAGGTTTTCTTAATTATCTTGAATCGGACTGTAATAACCTAATAACTTAAATGGGTATTTTATTTGTGTGTTGAGATGTTCGGTTCATATAGACGTTTTTCCTTCACGAGGATTTTTCTACATTCCTCATTTTCTTTTCTTGTTTTTCGCCCATAAATTCAACCTTTTAAAATACTATTTGTTTTTAAGTTTGAAAGTTAATCTATTTATATGATTTACAGATCGATCCATAACTCCTTCTCCACAAGAGAAAAGACTTCTTGTTTTAACTGGTATGTACAAACGTGAGTCAGATATTCCGGAATTTATCAGGTGACAATAAATTTTACTTTTTTTTGTCATTATTATTTCCATGATAGATCTCCATGATAGAGATTGGGAGAGCTGACGAGGGTGAACCATATGAGACCAATTAAGATTTCCAGAGCAATAGTTATTTGGCACTAGGAATGATTCGACAATTCTTTTGAATGGGTAGGGATATTTACAAAATTTTCTTGCGCTGAATAACTCGACTGATTTTCAGTTTCTTCATCTTTTCTGTGGATATTTGAATTTAAGAATTTAAAATTTGTTTTAAGTTCTTTCGCATATTTCAGTGAAGTACGTATTGCAATGATGAAGGAACGTCTGAATTTTATGGTATCACTTTGCTTTTTGGTAACATTGGTCATCGCATTTTTGACGACGATAAAGACAATGTATCGTACAAGGACTATAGCAGTGGGCGACTCTTGAAAAAATTTTAAAAATCACTGATAGAATCTATAATGTTTTTGTAAAAATTCTTTCTTCACATAATTACTATTTATTTAAGCTGATAGAAGTTATAGTGTTTTTCTTAGTGTTTATCAGAAAATAAATTTCCACTCGTGGATGTTGAATTCGTACTCACATAAATGAACCACTAATCATTTTCAAATGTTCAGCTATACTTTCTAGCTCCTTTAGTATTACTCTTATCAACTTGATTTCTTTTCTTTTTCTCATACCTTAGTTGTTTGAGAGATACTTCATCTATTTTTGCGTTTCGACAAACATAGGTCCGAAGCGATATTAGGATCTGCTAGAAGTGTGCAAACTGTATATTGTGCACTTGCAAAATTCTGCTTGTCAATATTAAGTGTTGCTTATTCGATAAAAAAATCTGATGTACTTTAAAAAAATAAAAAATCTATCAATGTGCCAATTGTTGGATGCGCAGTAGAATTTTTTCGCACTCAAATGTCCACTGTTAGCGATGGATGACTTTACTGTATTCGAAATCCCAAAATTTCACCTGAAATACGAGACATAATTCCTACTTATTGATAACTACAGACGTTACATTTATCCGATAGCAGTAAAGTTAAGACCTTCCTTTACTACAAAAAAGAACTAAATTGAAACTACAAGAAATATTAGACTTGTTGCATAACAGAAGTATTTGCTCATTGTGACACTAGATGGACCAACGCACTTTGATTCTATTTTTGAGTAAATTTACTTTCCTCACCTTTGAGGAAAGTAAATTATCTTTCAGATGAATGAAAGATGATCTTTTTATCGATATCACAAATGCAATACATATGATCAGATCAAAACAGAAAGGAAATTAATAATTACCAGCAATTTTAGGTCACGTCTACTTCAAGTTTTCTAAACTTTTACTTGAAGGAGTGGTACGTCAAATTAAAGCGGATCAATAATTTTTTAATTTTAGGATGGACTGGTTAGCAGTATGCTAAGAATTGACTGTTGTCCATTTCATAATTTAATGCAAACCACTATCTGATCAAACTGCAAGTAAGAAAATAAGAAATACGCACAAACCATACCCGCGTGTAAACATATGTGCGATGGTTATTAAATTTGCAATGCAGCATTTTTGCTTATAGAAAGTTTTATTTTCTCAAATTTCAAACTGTGTTAATCTGCAAGCAAAACTTTGATAGAAACATGCAAATATTTCCTTATCTGTTCGTCAAAACAGTAACTGACTGCTAATAGAACTTAAATAACTTACTGCACTTACCACAATTTGCAGTCACTCCTTATTATTTGAACCATTTAAGTTTTACTAGCAAGTGGTTGCGGTAGGAATTAGTTACAAATAGCAGCAGGTGGTTCAAGTAATAAGGTAGTGACTGCAAATTGTGGTAAGTACAGTAAGTTATTTAAGTTCTATTAGTCTTTTAACAGTCAGTTACTGTTTTGACGAATGCGTCACTTTTTGCTGTCTTTACCTATTATAAATCATTTTATAAATTGTTAAAATATTCTCAGAATCATTTCATAAATTGTTAAATTATTCGTCGTTTCAAAAATAACCATCGAAAATAACCTTTTCCTACCAAACTTTGCTAAATGTGTGCTGTTGCCAACTGATAAGCGTTATTGGAGTGTTTGATAAATTGTTCGTTGGAATGAAGATAAAATTATCAGAATAGAACAATAAAACATATTATTTGTAATTCTCAGTAAATATTCATTTTGACATACACTTATAGTTCAGAATATAACTTTTGGGTATTGATTAAATTTTCAAATCAAGAATATATATTAAATTTTTTAGTTTGAAAAATTTCAATACTTTTGAAGTGTATTTTTAAAATTCAAAATTGTATTTCTAAATGAAACATTCCTTAACGAATAAACTAAATATTATATTCCATTTGAGAATACTGTGTGACATCACAGATACTTTTGCCAAATATTGTTAAGCATAAAAGATACAATCGCAAAATATTCTTCAATATTCTAAAAATTATTACTACGATTGGGTCTATGATTTAAAGCATTGAAATTCTGATGACAGTATGAAATATAAATTTGTGTTCCTTTCTAATTAGTACTGAGTTAATTGCTTTCTTCATTGTTTCTATGATTACTCGTCGAGTTTTTGTACGAAACTTTATCATATACAAAAGCTTTTATGAAAACTTTTCACGTATTATCACAATGTCATTAATTGTTGTTTCACGTTTTCCGTCATCATTGCTTATCATTTTTTATTAATTCTTCTCTTTTCTCTAGTGTACAATTTTCCGGAAAGTTAGCTTTTCTCCAGTATACAATTTTCCGGAAAGTTAGCTGAACAGAATTCATTTAAAAAAAGGATTATTTTCAAACTCATCGTTGAATAAGAGACTCTTCAGAGTCGTAATAAAAAATAAAATTTATAGATGAGATATACTGATTATAGCCCATCACCTATGCATCGAACATTGTTAACAAGTATCCGTAATAGATATAATCTCTAATTTAATCGATATGTGATATTTTTCTTAACAAATAAAAGAATATTTAAATTCAACTATTGCACATTCTCATATATACTTTTAGATATGTTTTTGAGCTTTGTTATGATTGAAATACATTTAAATTATTTTATAATAATAATGCGACACTGAAAATACATCATTTTAAATCATTTCAAACTATTTTTAATCATTTAAACTTGATATATCTGTTACATCATATTACTAGATATTAAAATTATTCATTTATTTCCAAATACGAGACAGAGAAGTGAAATTTTCTTAAACAACGATTAATAAAATTACCTGATAATCATATTTATTATCAAACATTTCTATCCATGCAGCATATCTTTTTTTTTAATACAACCAATTCATCCATCTGATTATGCTTTAATTATGATTTTTATTCTCTCATAAAGAAAAACGAAAAAAAAAAACGTTTTAGTTTATTTAGTAACAAAATTATTTACTACTTCAATTAGAAATATAATCTTTAATTAAGAAAAAATTTCAAAGGAAAAATTTATTGTTCAAATCTTTTCATCAATTTCCTTCCGTATTCTTACTATTAACAGTGACATGTCATCTATTTATAAATTATAAGTAATTAATTCGTTTATTATTCACTGTTGTTTGTTGTTTTTTTTTTTTCAAATATTACTCATAAAGAGATAAACAAATTGTTCATTTTGTTTATTTCTTAATTTCAGGTTCATTCATAATATCCATCAAATGTTTGTTTATGAAGTAAACTATGATATTAATTTTAAAGTTGTTTCTTACAAGGTAGCAAAAAAGAGTGCATAACAATGAAATTATCAATTTCTTTTCTCTTTTTTCTTCTTTTTTTTCAGTGATTAATATAAAATGAAATTTTAATCGAATGCTTTGTTATTCAGGTTGTATCTGTGTAATATTAATCATTTAAATTCGGTAATTATAAATTAATTCCGTTTTGCGTGTTTAATTGAAAATAAGCGAGGAACTATAAGAAGGAAAATTATTTATATTTTACTTTAAGTTTTTTTTTTTTTTTTCACTTTATCATCCTTAGTTAATTTTCAATGACATAAACCATATTTTTTATGATAAGGTCAATGAACAATTGATTGAGTCATCATAAATCATCGAAATGTCACATTCATTAAGATTTTGTCTATTTCTCATCTAATCCAATTCATTGAATTTACAATTTGCGGTATTTCTTTTCTTTTAAAATACACCGCGACATCTCGAATTTCCATATTATTTGTTGTTTCACTTGAAAAAAAATCTGTCAACATTGTACTTCTACCATCCATCAACGATATTTAATATTGTTGTGAGATTAATTTCTTTCATCGCTAATAATCTCTCCGTTCTGTTTTTTGCTGCAATATGGAAGTAAGCAAAATTGTTGCAGAAAACGTCTAATTGGAAATGTCTATTCCGGAAATTACGTTTTCCAATACGTTTTACACCTTCAGTAAGCTCATATTCACTTTCCTTAGCATTCATTGACATATTATTAGCATGCATTGGTATCCTTTTTATTGCTCTCAGCCACAATTAAGTATTTTCCGGATCACTGTAATACAGATAATAGCAATATACTTAGAAAATAAAAATCACTATTCCGTTGTTTATTTCTGACTCTACCTGTATGACAATTGCATCAGAAATTTGATCAAATCATTTGACGGTAGGCAATGTACCAATTCGGAAAAAACTTTAGAGTTTTGCAGGAATTCAAATTCAAAAATTAGAGATATTTGGTAGGAAATAAAGAAAATACACGTACTTCTCATTATTTCTATAAACCCTGAAAAGTTTAAAAAATTTTTGAGGAAGGAGTGAAATTTAAAAGAATGCTTGAAATGTTAGTGTTTTTCGTAGTGTAGCAAATGGGTAGGCAAGTTGTCATCTACCTCTCATATTTTTGCCCTGCGGCATTGCGTGTACATAATTTCAGAGCAGAACAAGGTTTAATGAAGTGATTTCAATTTATTAATGCAATGACTTAACGGTTACACAATATTCTCTTGTAAACATTTTTTCATGAAATGCTATAATCCGGTAGTTATACTGGAAATGAGACATTAATAAACTGACAATTCTAGAAATGAAGTAGAACTGATCATTGATTGTAAGCATAATAAAGAATTTCCTCTAATTAATATATATATTTCCGGCGAGTCGCACGGTAAATATTTCCGGCGAGTCGTACGCGTTTTCTAGCGCAAATTCCGGATTTGCAGAGAAAGTAGTAAAAGCATAAGACATGAAATGGATTCCAAAGTTCACAATCAAACTTAAAATTTGAAAACAGTTGAGGTCTAGAAAATATAAAAGTTCATCCAGTTGATATTTATCATTCTATACTAATTGTGAAAGAGATGATTGTAGGTTAAAGAAGATCACTGTTATGCATCCGTAATTTATAAGTTATCATTAGCATTAATTAATTAATTAATTAATTAATTATTATTATATATAATTAATAACCTATTCTAATAG